TAATACTTACTGTTATATAAATTTTGTTTGGTTTTTCGAGACAGGATTTCTCCATGTAGCTTTGGCGCCTGTCCTGGCATTTGTTCTGTAGCTGGCCTCCAACTCGCAGGTCCACCTGGCCTCTCTTACATAATCTTAAAATGAAAAAATGCCCACGGGATTCCCATGTGTTATATAGAAAATAAAACTTTCATTTTCTGAAAACTTTGAGACACATTTAAAATAAGCCAAATGTGGTTGAAATCAAGTTTTTCTTGATTTATATGATTATATTCTTTGTGCTTTATAATTAACTATACAACATTTATGGAAAAATAGGGTTTATTATTATTAATAGGTTTTTGGGCTTCCACCTGGGTTGCCAGATGATATAGAGAACAACAGGAGCCCCCTTTGAGTTCTTGGTGTCATAAATAAAATAATTTAGGAATGAACTTAAGTGGAAGCTCGAGGGCAGTTTTATTAGAGTTTAAAGAGAATCACATCCCAAGGTAGGCAAACTGTAAATCCTCAGCTGGAAAAGGGAAGGGGGAAAAAAAAACATGCCATGGAGGTTAGACACATGCCGAACAGACACATGATGGGGAGGGAAGCTTTAGGAAAAAAGTAAGGAAATCCAAAAATCAGAAAAGCATATTTGCATTCTGGGCCGCATTCAAAGGAAAGAGAAAGAAAGGAAAATGGAAGAGTTGTGCCTTTCTAACTGAGGCCCCAGGCAGACTCGCCAAACCTTGTGGTGGCTTATATTGACTGCAAGGGGTAGGGAGCAGGAGTTCTGGGAAGGAAGAGTATAGTATTTCATTAAAGGAAATTTTATTGCATCTATTTATTTCTTTAGCATGGCTTAAGTTGAGCCTTTGTAGGTGTGACCCTTGGCCAGGTGATTGACTTGGCCCAACTAAAATATTAGGTCTCCACCTAGGCCAGAAATTCGTTCTTTTGACCAGAAGGATTTTTTTCTACTTTAACGTAACTCCAAGTAACATAATATGATGAGATTAGAATTGAAGAGTCAATTTATAGACTGGGGACACATATCCAATGAGAACTTGCCCTCCTTTAAGTAGAGGGAAAACTGACATGAGAAATTTTGATTGTGTTCTTATAAACTAGCTTTGATTTCTTTGTACACGATGGAATACTACCATGCTTTATTTTTGATATGCAGCAAATTTTACACCTCCTGGAAGTAACTCTTGGAATACTGTTTCTTAGAAATAACGACAGATTTGGATACTTGGTTTAAGGGCACATGTGAGAAAGAACAAAGAAAATTGAGCAAAGAACTAACAGTAAAGCTGAGGATATAGCCTAGGGGTAGAAATCTTACATGGCGAGTGCCAGGTCACTAACAAAATAAAAAGTTAAATCAACTATATCTATGCAATTTGAGAGGATAATATGTAGATACTTAATTGGACACACGTGGCTTTGAAATTTGCTATTGTTTGATCTAAAGTGGATTTTTTCTACCATTTTTTTCTTCTAACGTTTGAAAACTTCCTTAATTGTGATGATGGATATTGTCTCAGCTCAGCTCCCACAAACAGATACTAAGCAGCTTTTTTATATAATTTCTTTTAAAAACAATCTTTTCTCCTTTTGTATACCAATCCTAGTTACCACTCCCTTCCCTCCTCCTGCTACCCCTTCCTTCCTACCTCTCCATCCCCATCCACTCCTCAGAGAGGGTAAGACTTCCCATGGAGAGTCAACAAACTCTGGCACCTTACTTTGAGGCAGGACCAAGGGCCTCCGGCTGAGCAAGGCATTTCTCCAAAGAGAATGGGCTCCAAAAAGTCAGTTTAACTACTAGGGAGAAATCCTGGTCCCACTACCAGTGACCCCACAGACTTCCCAAGCCACACTTCTGTCACCCACATTCAGAGGGCCTAGTTTGGTCCTGTGCAGGTTGTCCTGCTGTCAGTCTGGAGTCAGTGAGCTCCCACTAGCTCAGGTCAGCTGTTTCTATGGGTTTCCCCAAACTGTTCTTGACACCTTTGCTCAGGCTATGTCTCCTCCCTCTCTTCAACTGGACTCTGGGAACTCAGCCCCGTGCTTAACTGTGGATCTCTGCATCTGCTTCCATCAGTTGATGGATAAAGGTTCTTTGATGATTACAGGGGAAGGCCAGTTTCTATATCCTCTACCCTGATGCTTAGGGTCATTCTTGTGGATTCTGGGAATTCCCCTAGTGCCAGGTTTCTTGCTCAAGATATCTCTTTCCTTGTGCCCCCTCTTTGTCCTTTCTCTATCTCAACCATCCCACTCCTTTGTGTTCTCCCCCCCTTCTCCCCTTCCTCTCCCCATCTTCTCTCCTCTCTTCCCCATGCTCCCAAATTTCTCAGGAGATCTTGTCTATTTCCCCTTCCCAGGGGAATGCATGTATTTCTCTCTTAGGGTTCTCCTTGTTATCTAGCTTCTTTGGGGTGGTGAATTATATGCTGGTTATCCTTTGTTTTTTGTCTGATATCCACTTATGAGTGGGTACATGCCGTGTTTGTCTTTCTGGGTCTGGGTTACCTCAGATTCAGGGTGTTTTTTCCTAGTTCCATCCATTTGCATGCAGATTTCAAGATGTCATTGTTTTTTACTGCCTAGTTGTACTCCATTGTGTTAATGTACCACATTTTCTTTATTAGTTCTTTGAGGAACATCTAGGTTATTTCCAGGTACTGGCTATTATGAATAATGCTGCTATGAACATAGTTGAGCAGATGTCCTTGTGGTATGAATATGCATCCTTTGAGTATATGCCCAAGAGTGGTGTTGGTGGTTCTTGAGGTAGACTGCCAGTTTTCTGAGAAACCACCATACTGATTTCCAAAGTGGTTGTACAAATTTGCACTTCCACCAGCAATGGAGGAGTGTTTCCCTTACTCCGCATCCTCTCCAGCATAAGCTATCATCAGTGTTTTTTATTTTAGTCATTTTGACTGGAGTAAGATGTTATCTCAGAGTCATTTTGATTTGCATTTCTCTGATGGCTAAGGATGTTGAGCAATTCCTTAGGTATCATTCAGCCATTTGAGATTCTTCTGATGAGAACTCTCTGTTTAGATCTGTACCCCATTTTTTAATTGGATTATTTGGTATTTGATGTCTAGTTTCTTGAGTTCTTTATATATTTTGGAGCTCAGTCCTATGTCATATGTGGGGTTGGTGAAGGTTTTTTCCCCATTCTGTAGGGAGTCGTTTGGTCTTGTTGATGGTGTCCTTTGCCTTGCATAAACTTTCACTTTCAGGAGGTCCCATTTATTAATTATTGCTTTTAGTGTCTATGCTACTGGTGTTCTATTTAGGAAGTGGTCTCCTGTGCCAATGTGTTCAAGGCTACTTCCCCACTTTGTGCTCTGTAAGGTTCAGTGTAGCTGGGTTTATGTTGAGGCTTTTGATGCATTTGGACTTGAGTTTTGTACTTGGGGATAGTTGTGGATCTATTTGCATTATGCTATATGTTGACATCAAGTTTTGCCAACACAATTTGTTGAAGATGCTTTCTTTTTTTAATTATATATTTTCTGAAGTGGATTTTATTTTCTGCTCTCAAAGCAGTAAATCTTGTATTGGACCCCTTGAATAAAGTTATTTTCAGGGCTTAGCACATTTGAAGTGGTTTTGTGATTGATTTAGTCCCCATTGATGATTGTGCTGTGATTATGAAGACAATAGCATGATTTTTGTTTTAGTTGTCATGGCTCTGTAATTTATCTAGTTAAGTACTTTTGAGAGTAAAAGGGAGTGACAATAATTACCTTAGAACAATAGGTATAAATTATAACCAACTTGGGCAAATCAAGATAGCGTTTACCTGATTAGGATGTGTTGATGGCAAGTAACAGAAGACAAAACTCAGCTTGTTGTAGTAAGGAAAGCATACTGTGTGTGGGTGTTGCATGTGTGATTTATTGAGAAATTTGCCTTTTATTTGTCTGTTTTCTAGACCTTCTTATGAGGTCAGCTTTCCTTGTAGTTGAATGGCTATGTGGAACTATCTGGGCTTTATCCTTCCCTGTGTATGATCAGCAGGAAAGAGGATCCTACTTCTTCTACAAACATAGAATAGGTCTTGAGCATTGTCTAAATCAATTCCAGTTTCAAGGGGAAAATCATGTGCTGTTAGTCTTAGATAGGAAATAGCTGAGCATTACTCAGATGGAGCGATAGAATAACAGGACTATTAGACAAGTTGCATTAAGGAAACTAGTTGTAAGATCAGCTTTTCTAGGAAAGCAGTGCATCTTAGCACAGGGGAAGAAATTGGAGCAACAGTGTTCTCTGCAGTCTAGTGTGGCTGCTTATTTGCATTTTGCTTTGGGCATCTGTTAAAGAGTTTCTCCAAAAGCCTAGACTATTGTAGTATTTTTCTTCAAGTGAAAATATGTAGTATAAAATGATTTAACTAGCTTGGTGCTTTGGTTAAAGAGTACACCAAGTCAGATTACTGGGCGTGAGGGGTGGTAGTAATGCATTTCTCAGATGCATTATCAATGCCATGGACAGGGTTAACAGCATAGTGGAGGCTTTGAGGTGAGTTCAGGCCACAGCACCAGAGAAGTGTGGTGGGGTCTCTGACGAGAATCAGAGCCCACTTGGCAGAGGAGGGAGATTCTTGTACCTTTTTAGGATGGAGAGGTTCATCTGCAGCCAGATTCTTAGATTAGCAGGCAGCAGACAGGGAAGTGGTAGGAAAAAGGAGAGAAAAAAATTTTCTTATTTGATAACTATATTATTTTTAATTTAACTTTTATTTGATTATTTATCTAATTGATCTTTCTCTTCCCCAAATGACTACTTTCCTCAAATAATTAAAATAATAACTTGAAAAAAAAGCAGTGTGTGGAGAGATGTTAGATGACAACTTTACAAAGTTTTGGTGATCTTCCATCATGGGTTTCTGGGCTTGAACTCTTATTAAGATTATGCAATAGGCACTATAACTGCCTGAGCCATCTTGCTGGCTCTGACTATAATAATTATTGATATGTTCTTTTCCGCAGACTAATAGGGATGCCAAAGGAAAAATATGATCCTCCAGATCCTCGCAGAATTTATACCATCATGTCAGCAGAGGAGGTAGCCAATGGGAAAAAATCTCACTGGGCAGAATTAGAAATCTCGGGTGAGTGGAATCTAAAACATTTTATGTGGGATATATAGCAACAATTGGCAAGAGTATTGCTGTATTTATAGGTTCTTTGCTGTCGTTTAACTGAATGAACTAATTGGAAATATAGAATCCTGAGGCAATCAATGTTTCTTTAATCTTTCTAGATATTTTCCCTTTTTTGTGAGATTGTCTCGAGCAAGGATAACCATCTACAGTTAAAGATACTCAGAATTCAGTTTCTGAGTAAAATTATTAGGTCCTATGATATAATAACTGTTGACTTTTCCAGAGTAAATTTTTTTTTTGCAAATTAAAACCTTTGCTATCCTTCTATTATCTGAGTGGTGGCAAAGAAGGAGCCCTGAACTCCGTCTGTGTAACTATACCTGCTAGCTGTACTGGGACACATTCAGAACTTGTTGAAATAAACTGTGATTTGAAATACCTATAAACCAGTCTGAAAATGAGAAAAAACATCAAATGAAAACTGAAGGACATTGTATAAAATACCCAACTGATATACTTCAGAGTTAATAAGATTGTGAAAAACAACATCAAAAAGTACCTTAAGAGAAGGATTAAAGAGACACGATAATTAAAACATCTTGAATTGAATTAAAAAACAAAAAAAAGTAAAAACTAGTAAATTCTGAATAAAGCCTGAGTTTAGTTACTATTACTGTATCAGTGTTGGCTTCTTACTTGTGATAAATATACCATGGACTATAAGACTCTAATGTTAGGGACTTTAAGCAAGGTACATGTAAGAACCCCAAGTACATATATAAGTACTTACAAGAAGTACATACAAGCAGCCAAAAGTTAGCCTGGTGGTGGTGGTGCACACCTTTATAGAATCCCAGCACTTGGGAGACAGAGGCAGGTGGATCTCTGTGAGTGTAAGGCCAGCCTGGTTTACAGAGCAAGTGCCAGGACACACTCCAAAGCTACAGAGAAACCCTATCTCAAAAGAAAAAAAAAAAGAAGAAGAAGAAGATGATGACGAAGAAGCCAAAAGTTGGCTTTTACCCAGTAAAATACCCAGAGTATTTATTTAGTTGTAGCAACCCAAAATGCGTAAGTCCTTTGAGGGGCAGAATCTCCCTATTGAGAATGGAGTGTTAAGTCCAAGTTAATAGAAGTTTCTCTTTTACTCATAGCCTCGTCATTGAATACTTTGTTTTTGTACTAAAATGTAAAATCCTAGTTGACTCTTAGTGTTTGAATAAGGGAAGTCTGTGGTAGAAAGAACCCTGAATAGAAATAAACATTGAGCATGTATGAATGTATGTATGTATGTCTGTATGTATGTATGTTTAATTTTCCCTTTGAGAGTTTTATTCTCTGAATTATATTGCCATCTCTCATCTAAATCTTTTTGGAAAGTGATAGCTATAAATAAAAGTTACTTTATGGGTCTGGAGAGATGGCTCAGCTAATTAAGAGCACATACTGCTCTTCTAAAGGACAAAAGTTTGGTTCCCAACACCAACATCAGGTGGCTTACAAGTGGCCTGTTCCCCTCGGCACATACCCACACAAACACTTATATACTCACCTAAAAGCAAAACAAATCTTAAAAACTATTGCTTTGCTTTTATAAAATATTTAATCCTTACATAAATTATGCTTTCTAATAATTATAAACAGGCCTGGGATGTCTCTCAGCTCTTAGAGTACTTGCCTGGTATTCATAAAGCTTTGGTTTAGGATCAATTCCCAGTACCAAATAAACTGGGTATGGTTTGGGTCTAGAGTTTATGCTTTAGTGTTTTGCCTTTTAGGTAGAGTGCGGAGCTTAAGTACATCACTTTGGTCATTGACACACTTGACAGCGCTGCACCTAAATGACAATAACCTTGCTCGCATTCCACCTGATATTGCCAAGCTTCATAATCTGGTTTACCTGGATCTGTCATCCAATAAACTCAGAAGTTTACCAGCAGAACTAGGAAACATGGTGTCTCTCAGGTGAGGAAACTTAAAGACATGATTCATTATATAAAATTACAAATTTACTAAATAAGAAAGTTATGGATGTTATTTAATGGTGGGGTTTCCATTTCCATTTCCGTGAAGATCAAAAGACAGGATTGGTCTTAAGTACAGTGCATGAGTTGGCCTCCATTTAATAATTCTTATTTATTTATTTATTTTGGTTTTACGAGACAGGGTTTCTCTGTATTGTTTTGGAGGCTATCGGTCCAGCCCGGCCTCGAACTCACAGATATCCGCCTGCCTCTGCCTCCCGAGTGCTGGGATTAAAGGTGTGTGCCACCACCGCCCGGCAATTCTTTTTCTTTGCATTGTAAGTTCTTGCTACTTGTTTCTTGACAGACTTTGAGGCAGGGGAGGTTAAAAATCTTACTTAGAGTGAAGTCTGATAAGACTAATCAGAATACTTCAGAAAATATGACTTGCTTATAAATGAAAATTTTAGAAACAAATTTGTTAGAAACTATGTTTATATTTTATGTTATAATTCTTTGATGCAACTTGATTGAAATGGGTTTATAGTTCAAGAGTCTTTAAGACTTCGTTCTTGAAGCAGGGTCTTGCTGTGGTGCCCCAACTGGCTTCAGTTTGCAGCAGCTCTGTTCTAGCCTCTTATATCTGGGGACTATAGGCGTGTGCCACTACACCGGCAGGACTTCCTTTAGGAGAAAACATTTCAGTATCTTAATTAACTTTTTGCAAAACAAGAATTACTTTTGAGTAATGCGGTTTTGTTTTGTTTTGTTTTTGGTGTATGTGTGTATTTATTTATTGATTATAGTAGCAATAATTTTTTAAAAGTTGCTCTTATATGTCTAAAATTAATAACTATTGTGTTATTTATTTGTTCTTTTACCATCCCCCAAATGGTTTTATGAATGCTTATTTTTTTGTCCTTTACTAATGAAGGTATTTTTTTCATAATTTGTTCAAATTTTCAGTTACAAACTTAGATTTATCTGTGTTGTCTCTCTTCTGTGTTTGTCTTTATTGATCTGTTCCTATCGTTTGTTTTGTGTTTTAGTAAATATATTCTATATTAGTGATTGTTCACCAGAGTACATTTTGTTTTTCATATCTTTTTTTTTTAATTTTCCAGTTTAAATTTAGATAAGAATCAAGGTTGCTTCACAAGTCAGTTCCAGGTCCCTCTCCCATTCCCTCCCTTCCTCCCGTGCCCTCCCCCCCCGTTATCCTCTCATTTCTCCAGGGAGGGTGAGGCCCTCCATGGGGGTGTCCATAGTGTGTCATTTCATATAGGGCAGGGCCTAGACCCTTTCCCAAGAGTTCTGGGTGAGAGTGTACCTCACATTGTTCTATTGAAGTCCAAAGTCCGTGTGTATACTTGGGATGGGTACTGATCTGCTGCCCAAGGCTCAATAGATTCCCTAGGCCTCTTCACTGACACCCAGATTCAGGGGGTCTTGATCAGTCCCATGCTGGCTTCCCAGGCTAATGCCTGGGATTCAAGAGTTAACCTTTGTCTGGTCAGCTGTTTCTGGGGGTTAAACCAGCCCAGTCTTAATCCCTTTGATCATCAGTCCTCCCTCTCTGTTACTGGCTTTCTTGAGTTCAGCTCAGTACTTAACCAAGGGAGTCTGCCTCTTCTTCGATCAGCCACTAAATAAAGTTTCTGTTTCCCAGACTCTCTGGCCATAGGATTGTAGGCTGGCACTCCCCAGATCTATGTCTAAAATCCATATATGAGAGAGTACATGCCATGTTTCTCTTTTTGTGACTGGGTTACCTCACTCAGGATGGTTTCTTCTAGTGTCATCCATTTGCCTGCGAATCTCATGATTCCATTATTTTTTTCTGCTGAATAGTACTCCATTGTGTAGATATACCACATTTTCTCTATCCACTCTTCAGGTGAGGGACATCTAGGTTGCTTCCACGTTCTGGCAATTACAAATAAAGCTGCTATGAACATAGTGGAACAGACCTCTTTGTTGTATGAATGGGCATCTTTTGGATATATGCCTAAGAGTGGAGTTGCTGGGTCTTGTGGTAGGTTTATTCCCATTTTTCTGAGGAATCTCCACACTGATTTCCAAAGTGGCTGAACCAGTTGGCACTCCCACCAGCAATGGAGGAGTGTCCCCCTTTCACCACATCCTCTCCAGCATAAATTGTCATTGGTGTTTTTGATTTTAGCCATTCTGACAGGGGTGAGATGGTATCTGAGAGTTGTTTTGATTTGCATTTCCCGGATGGCTAAGGATGTTGAGCACTTTCTCAAGTGCCTCTCAGCCATTTTAGACTCCTCTATTGAAAACTCTCTATTTAGTTCTGCAGCCCATCTCCTTTTTTTTTAATAACATGTTTGCTTATGTGTGTGAGTTTGCACCTGTCAGCAGCTTACATGTGGAGGTCAGAGGGAAACTTTGTGGGAGTCTATTCTCTCCTGTCTGTGGGTCTTGTGTCAGATGTCTTGCAACAAATGTCTGTGCATACTAAGCCAAAATCTTGCCGGCCCTTTCCTCATGTTTCTACTTAATTATTAGCTTCTGCAATATACTGCCTTGTCATGTATTTCTCTTTTTGTTTTTATTTTTTTCTCAGTATTTTGGCATGACTATTTATAATAGATGACATAGGCAATTGGCTACTAATTTTAGCTTAATCCTTAAATTTGTTAAAAATTTACTCTCTTCATGCTGGGTAGAAGCACATGCCTTTAATCCCAGCACTTGGAAGGCAGAGTCTTGTGGATCTCTATGAGTTTGAGGCTAGCCTGGTCTACAGCCAACTCTATATATAGAAAACCCTGTCTTATAACAAAACAAAGCAAAACAAAAAACCCAAAAACTTCTTTGAATTAAACGTGGCTCAAGTTCTTACAGCTTTTGGATACTAATAACATCTGTCACTCTGATTGGCATCTACTAGATATTGTAGATGAAAAAAAACTTTATTTAGCCTGAGATTGATGTGCAGTTCATATACCTCTGAATTTAATCTGTACTACCAAATTAGTAAATCATAGAGATATTTCATAATTGTAGTAGCACTTTAATAGTATTCAGCATTTGGGGATTAAAACATGAAAAAATGCCTTGAATGTAAACATCACTCATGATGTGTTAGAAGAAAGCTAAGAATGACAAATATGGTATTAATAAAGCATATTATATTGTACTGAAACCTTTAAAATTTTTTTTAAACAGGGAATTGCTTTTAAATGACAATTATTTACGGGTTTTGCCTTATGAACTTGGCCGGCTCTTCCAGCTACAAACTCTAGGTTTAACAGGTGAGTGACTTAAAAAGAAGATAATGTTAATACTATCGAACTGCTATAATGCCTTTTTAAAGATGGTTTTGTTAAAAGTATAGGTCAGTTTTGTTATGATTTTGAGAATGTGAGAGGGATTAGCTAAAGGCATTAGAAATGTAGTGGTCAAAATATTTTATCTTCGCCGGGCGCTGGTGGCGCACGCCTTTAATCCCAGCACTCGGGAGGCAGAGGCAGGCGGATCTCTGTGAGTTCGAGGCCAGGCTGGACCGACAGCCTCCAAAACAATACAGAGAAAACCCTGTCTCGAAAAACCAAAAAAAATTTTTTTTATCTTCTGCCATCCACTTTGCTCCCCACTTCCTTTTACTCCTCCTCATTTCTCTCTCCTCTTGTTTTGGAGGTAAGATATTATACTCTAGCCCAGACCAGCCTTGAACTCTCCATATTCACTCTGTATTAAATCACCCCCCCACCCCATGCTGGGATTACAGATGTGAGCCACCAGTTTATTTTCTGTATGCTAAGTCTTACATAGTTAAAACAATCATCTAGCAAGAAGTAGGTTGATGGGGCAAGCCTGTACCTCTTGATTGAAAACTTGTGGACCGTTTATCATTTTTATAAGCTTAGGTTCATGAATTGAGGAATTAATACTTTCTCCCCTATTTATAATTATCTTTAATGAGAATAATTCTTTTGTTTGGAACTTTCAGAACACCTGTTTTCTACATTCTGGTAATAATGATTGAAAGCTCATTAGTGATAAATTTAGCAATTTAAAATTGAACCTAGCAGACTTACCCTTTGAGCGAAACAACATTCTTGACATAGCAAATACTAGCATTGAATGCTTTAACATGACTCATTTTTTTCACATCTTGTCTTACACATTCCTAAAAATTTATGCTATATTACCAGCTGAATGAATTATTCTGATTATTTGTTAATTTTACTGTCCTTTATTTTACTAAAGTATTAAGTCTTAAAACTAGCGTTTCTAGGGCTGAATATACAACTTAGTAGTGAATTGCTTGCCTGCCTTGTATAAGGTCCTGGGTTTGATCTTCAACAATACCAAAAAAGCAAAACAAAAAGCCAAAGCAAAAGTACTCTTTGGCTGGTCTTCATCGTAGTGACATTTTTTTCTACTAACACAAATTCATTAAGATCTCTTCTCTGATCAAAAGGTCAGGATTGTCAGTCTAGATAAAAGAAAAATAATATTGAACTTTGTGCTAATTATAGGAAATAATTTGACTTAATAAGTTAAAAATAATCTTTTCATGTATCTAATCTGTTAGTCAGTTGTTAGCTATACTTCACCAAGTAAGTATAAGTTAGCTTTGTTCTTGCCTATGGAGACATCCCTCTTACTAGAGTGAAGTAGTGGTTGTTTTGCTTCTCTTTTGAGTTTTCAGCATTTATAAAGGTGTAACAAGGTATTTTGAGGGTATAATTCATTGATGTTTTTTGCACACTATATACATAGTCTGACAGTAATAGTATAGTTTTGTAGCATTGTACTCCCCCCTCCTTTTTTTTTTTTTTCTTTTGAGATGCCTTGGGTGTAGCTAGAAATGATAGTCTCAAACTCTCAGGCGCTAGGATTATAGGTATGTGCTATCATTCCCAGCTGCATTTCTGAGTTCTCATTTTCAGTAGGAATGTTCAAACTGTCCTCAATAGTTTTCATTTAGTTACATTTTCTGTTCAAGTGATCATATACAGAAGGACCAGGAACTTTTAGAAAAGAAAGTTAAAGCTCTTCCTGCCTTTTACCTTTTTCCTTAAGCAGTTGAAGGAGTGAAATGTCTTAAAAAATTCATATGGTCAGAGAAAATATGCAATTTTGTATGTTTCAAATTTGTTGAGAAGTGTTTTTGCATCTGATACATTATAGTCTGTCCTGGTGGATGTTCTGTGTGCTGATGAGCAGAGTGTATATTCTACACTATAGTGAAATGTCCTATAAATGTGTGTCTACAGTGTACTTGGACCCTCATGTTTCTGTTGTCTCTCTGACTATTCTGTCCTTTGGTAAACATGGGAAGCAAAGTTTGGTATTGGATTTGTGTGCATTTTACAATTATTGCATATTCTTGACCTTTTTGTATAATGATCTTGCTTTCTTTTGTATTCTTTTTTTTTTTTTTACATAAATTCTATTATAAATATAGCTCCTGGGCTCTATTTCCATGGAATATCAGCTCTCACCCCCAGTACTTTATTTATACAATTGAGTAATCCTGGCTAGGGTTCAGTATGTTTCAAGCAAGTAGCAAATACTGTAGCAAGCTGCATAAAGCTAGTTATGTTTTACCTGGAGAACAGTTACATGGTAGCCACACTGTGATTGCTTTGACCTATTTAGTTACCTATATAAGCAGCTACAGAAACTTCCCTGTAGAAAAAGGTTTGGATATCATGTTATTTAATTTTTATGTATTCATATAATTCCTGTAGTACTTTAATTAAAAAAGAAAAGATTTACTTTTGACAGTTGTCATACATGTATACAATTGATTATATTTGCTCTCAGCTCCCCTCTCCCTCTCTTTTTAGACTTAGTGTATCTTTCTCCTACATTCATGTCCTGTCCCTTTCTTGTGGGATGGGGATCCACTGTATCCAATTAGTGCCTACTTGCTGGAATGCTGACTGTTGACTTGATTTTGTGTAGGTCTTATGTAGGTAAACATAGTTATACTTAGTTCCTAAGTGTGACAGCCATGTCATGTTCAGATAACAGCATTTCACTGCACTCCTCCCTTTCTTCCAGCTGTTTCTTTCCGTCTTCAATTCTGTTTTGCTGAGCCTTGGGGATCAGAGGGTTGATGTCGATGTCCCATTGAAGCCTGAGCACTCAACAGTAATGTGTTAGCCCTTTAACTAGTTATGATTCTGCATAACAAACCATTGCCCACATCATGAAGAACATTTCTGTCAAAGCTGCAAGCAGCACTAATATATGAGCATAAACAAAAATACATAGAAGGCAATTTGATAAAATGCCCACTTAACAAAGCAGCAGTAATATTTGGCCAAGGTTTACAGTACCTGGCATGAATTTCCTCCTGTAGAGCAGACCTCAGATTCAATCAAAAAGCAGTTGGTAACCCCATAATCTTCATGTTTTCCTATTGTAACAGTGGGCACATTTTGCCTGGCAAGTAGGTATTACAGCATTCTGGGTACACTGTTGACTAATGATTTTTCTCCTTTAGTGGCCTGAATAGCATCTTCCAGCATTCTGAATACAAGCCATCGGGGATAATGTTTTCAAGGCTAGTTCCAGATTGATTTCTTTGTTCTGCAAACACAATGCTTTGTGTTAATGCATGTAGTTATGGTGGGAACCAAAAGCAATGGCAGTAGCGTGTGTTGTTTTGGGGCCTTTAGCTACCCGCTCCCAACAGTTTATCCCATGCCTGGCACTGGGGGTTTATTTTAATAATTCCTATCTTTTGGGGGAAAGCATTGTTCACCCAAGCAATACCTGTATTCAAACTTTTCTTTTGAAATTTTTAGTAAGCTTACAAAGTAGTGGATTTCCATAAGGACTTTCCATACAACCTTAGTTTTGCTTAACCTACCTCTCAGCACCCCTTCCCTATCCCCACTTAAAGCCTCATCACATGTATTCTGTCTCTTCACCCCTTAATATCTTCCCTTCTACCTCTCATGAGCACTTTCTAGCTTCCTGACCATTACAGACAGTCCAGTTTAGATATACAACTCTAAAAATACACAACTAAGATCCATATGTGAGAAGGAACATGTGGCCTTGGTCTTGCTGGGTTATCCCACTTAACTGTGTATTCCAGTTCCAAACATTTCCCTGCAAATTCTATAATTTCATTTCTCTTTCCAGCTGAATAAAATTCCATCATGTTTCACATTTTCATTAGTCATTTATCAGTTGATGGGCATTTATTAACTAGCTGTTGTGGACTAGGGCAACAATGAACATAAATATGGGTATATTTCTGTAAGAGCCTATGGAGTCCTTTGGGTATATGCTCAGGAGTGGTGTATCTTGATCTTATTGTAAATCTTTTTTCAGCTTTTGAGAAACCACTTCACTGATTTCCATAGTGGTTACACTAGTTTACAGACTCACTAACAATAAGAATTCCCCTTTCCCCACACTCTTGCCTGCATTTGTTGGTGTTTGTTTTATTGACCATAGCCATTATGACTGGGGTGAGATGGACTCTCAAAGTAGTTTTAATTTACATTATCCTGATCTCTGGTGGTGTTGAACACTTAAAAATATTTGCCAGTCATTTGTATTTTTTTCTTTGAGAACTCTGTTTAGGTCCACGGTCTTTTTTTTTTTTTTTTCAGTTTCTTTAATGTTAACTACTTGAATTCTTTGTATAGTCTAAATGCTAATCCCGTGTTGGATATATAATAGATAGCTGGCAAAGATTTTCTCATTCTGAAGCTACCTTTTCACTTGATTGGCAGTTTCATTTGCTGTACGAATCTTTTTAATTTTATGAGCTCTGGTTTGTTGATTATTCCTGAGCGACTGGAGTCCTATTCAGGATGATCTTACCTATACCTATATCTTGACGTGTACTCCCTACTTTTTTTTCTAGCAGTTTCAGAGACCATTAATAATCACAATTAATCTTAAAAGGTATGTATTGATTCCTGTTACTTTGTTGATTTTGTAGTGTTTGGTTTTTACCCCTCTTCTTCTTTTGCTTAATTATCATTCTAGCGTTATTTATTTCCTATGGCCTCATAAATTTTTCTCCTCAATCTTAGGGATTCCTTGTGTTTTCTGTAGAGCTGGCTTAGTTGTCAAAATTTCTTTTAGCCTTTATTATTATTACTATTATTGCATAAAGTTTTAATTTTTCCTTAATTATGACAGATAGCTTTATTAGTATACCTGTATTAATCTGGGTTGGCAGTTTTCTTTCAGAACTTGAGATACATCTGTCTAGGCCATCTGGGTTGTAAATTTTCAGCTGAGTAATCTACTTTCATTTTGAGGGACTTGT